GCTTTTTAAGTTTCCATGTTGGGAAGCAGGTTTCCCCTACACTAAGACTCTTAAACAAAGGGATATTTCTCAAATGTAGGAAATGGGTTCATATGTTAGAGGCCAGAAAGAAAGATAAATGTTTACACGTGGATTATCTTGGTGCTCACAACAATCTTGTGAGGTTGTCTATTTTTGCCCCGTTTTACAGATGGGAAACAGATATGGAAACTCTGGAAAAGCCCTGATTTCTTCCCCAGTAAAGCAGTACTCTCTAAGGGCCTTTTCAGCTCCAAATGGTCGAGATTCATAATGATGGGCTGACAGGACATCTCTGTTGCTTCCAGTTCTTGCACTTTCTGGTCTTGGAGAAAGAGCCATATCTGCCTGGTGCTGTCTAACTCCTCTTCGACTCCCCAGCAACCTCCTCCCTGTTCCTAGAGCTGCCGCCAAAGCTTAACCACTTTCCACAATACTTACTCTCCCCTGTCCCTTTCATGTTGACAGCACTAATATTGACAGCCCTAATGGGATTGCAGATTAAGCAATCCCAGACATGTTTGGAGCTGTACCTGGATCGATCCTTTAGGCAATGGCAGAAACCACCTTTGCTCCTGATTTTAATTGAATAATTTACTGTAAATAGCTTCCATTTCCTCCACAAACCATGTGTCATTAGCCAAATGGAGGTGAGCAAAGGCTGCGTCTAATTGGATGTGGGCGCAGAAATGAGCTGTCCAGATGGAGCTGTTGTCACAGCAAGCATTGAATTAAATCAGAGACCCTTAAGACTTCAAGTCTTTCTTGTAAACTAGCCACTTCTGGTGGGAGCTACATAGCCCAGAGCCCTGAAGAAACAAGGCTGCAGGATCCATGGTGGGATTTTCAGTGAATTAGGAAAGGCCCTGGGACAGGTGATGGAGGGATTTCCTCTTTCCTGCTCACTCCTGCATGTGTCCTTTTCACCTCTCTTCCTGGGAAAAGCAGCAGCTCTGCTCTGAGATATATTTCTTAACTCTTCCTTCCAACAGGAAGGGTACTTCTTCTTGGAGGCTGCTATATGCCAAGCACAATACTGGGGACTTTTGCAAGTAATCTCATTTAATCCTCATGATGCTCCTGGGAAGTAGGTATAATTGAGGAAACCACATGTTCAGTGGGTTGGCAGTTTTCCCAAGGTTATGTACTTATCAGGTCAGGATTTGTACAAGTCAGGATTTGAATCTATCAGATTCCAAAGTTCATGTTCTTTTTGCAACACCAGTGAGGACACAGAGCCCAGGACCAAGGGCTTGTCTTGAACTCAGTTTTGGTTTCCTAACATTCTGTATAACTTTGGAAGGAGTTTATTCTTCAAGTCTGCTCAACAGGATGAGTCTGACTTAGGGCTGTGGGAGTGGGTGGGTGCAAGGGCTTCAGACTGAAGATGGAACTTTGCAGTAGGAACTTCCCTGAGGATAGCATGCTTTAAACAGGTCTATTTGAAGCTTTAACTGGAACTATGATCTCCCATCCCCCAAACCCTTTAGGGCCTATCTCTGTCCATATGACTTTCACAAAAGTGACAATAAATGAGGAACAAAAGAGAAATATCTCCTTCTCCTTCCATATGACTGCAGTGTTTGCTTTTCTTCTTGAGGGCTGTGTCACTGAGGGCTGGCACTAGATGAAGCTGGAAGATTCACAGTCCGGGAAGTGGGAGCGGTAGGCGGTGCTGGTGAGAGGGAAGAGTGCTGGCATCTCTGAGAAGTGCCCCCTGGGGTTGGGTGTTGCCATTCAGAAATGGAGTCAGGCTGTCTGTTAGCAAAGGCTGAACACAGGCTCTTATCTTCATCTGCTCCAGCACCTCCCCTTCAATCATCAAACCTGAACTCTAGTCCTCTGCCACCTACTAACCTGTGCTTCTCACTGAATTTAAGAGGTCTCATCTGTAACAGAGGATGATGATAGTATTAAATGAACTAATACTATATGAAGCATTTAGAACAATGCCTGGCACATAAGACATGCTCAGTAAATATTAGCTATAATTATTATTGTTATAGATACTTTATAAACATCAGCTGGGTTAAACAAGTATTTCCTATCTCGCCTTTCAGATATTCTTCCTCATCCTTAGTGAAAATGAGCTGTGATTCCTCTGAGGCTTAATCTGATTCACAACCCATAGTCTTGACCATGCAGGTCATTGGGTCAGGACTGTGCCTAATCCCACATTCAGCAAGATTTGGCTTTAGACATTAAGGAATCTTGTCTTTTGGGGGCAAAGAGGCAGCCAATAATGACACAGTCTGTGAATAGGGCAGTGATGCATATGCAATCAGACGTCCTTAAGGTGCCTCCCCAGCCTCTGGGAACACAAGAGATCACATGAAGGAAGGTTTTGTGAGCTGGCAGGCTCCCCCTGCATACCTGCTGGGAAGTCATGGGTAAAAAGGATGAATGATGGCACCTCACTGGGATGCTTCAAAAAAATCGAGATATATTAGGCTTATTGCAGTTCCCTCAGCTAACAGCCCAGAGGCTCCTGAAGGAAAAGAAGTTGATTGTTTTGGCTTGTTCCTGCTGTGTTCTAGCTGGCTTCTTGTGCTCACTGCTTTCTGAAGGCTTCACAGGTCGGTGATCCAGAATTGGCTATAGAATTTATGGTCACAGAGCTGTATTTCTGGAATCTGCCTCTTAGGAATTCAGAACACTTTCTTACATTCAGGCTTCTGCTCATGACAACTCTTTTTTTTCTCTGGGTCCCTCAGAAATGACTTGAATCAGAGTCAGAGGTTCCTCTAATACTCTATGGTATGTATGCTTCACCTCATCCTACAGTTTCCTCTTGATTCAAACTTCAAAGGGTCCTGGAATTTTCTCAGTATTTCCCTGTCTCCTCTCCTACCTTAGGCTCTAATCCCCACTTCAACATATTTACTTTGCCTCTTTTCTTCTCAGTGATGAAGATGTGGAAGTAAAACAAAATCTACTTGCTCACTGCCATCTAATCACATCTTAGCTTTTACCCTGAGAAGTTGGTGTTTTCCTTTTTTGTACTTTAGTCAAACATATCAAAAGGGAGCAAACACCTTATTTTATTGTTTCTAGTTTTTCTTTTGTGCCATCCCTTTCAGCCTATTGGCTCACTAAATTCCAAAAATATACCTTCTCAGTAATGATAATAATGATGGAAATAACGATGGTGATAACATATGCTAATGAACGTTCGCTGAGCCTCTTGCTGTGCTAGGTGAGTTACCTGCTGTATCTCATTTTCTACATCTCCCTTAGCATAGATGACCAGAGAGCTGAGCACATAGCAGACTTATAGGACATAACGATAATAATAGCTAACTATTTATTTAGCTCTTACGTTGGCCGTATACTGCCACATTCCTAATCTCATGTCATCATTATAATAGCTCTTTAAAATAGATATTATTATCCTCGGTTACAGATGAAGAGATGGGGCTCAATATCAATGTATTAAAAATTTATCCCACTCATTCTTTCAACAGAGGTGTAGAGTGCAGGCTAAGTGCCTGGCCCTTGGCTCAGTGCCAGAAACACACGTGGTGTCTACCCTGAGGAAGCTCACAGTCTAATGAGCTCCACAGACAGAGAAACAGGCAATGGCAGCAAGTCTCTGGAATTATCTAGTGCCCTAGTTTATTCTGGGTTCCTGCCTCCCCACACTTTTCAGACTGACCATTTTCTTCTTTCTTCCCAGCATTATGATGAGTGCTTCGTGTTCACCCACATCACTGTTAAAATGCTCCTCCTCCATTCTTTTCTATAGGGCTCCTGTGTAATCACGGAGTAAGACTCTTCTGTTGATGTGCCCAGGCAAAGGTGACAGAATCTGCATATTCCTCAGGGAGGGCTTACTCATGGGCTTGGAGGAGTTGGCAGAGAGAGAGAGAAATGAAAAAAAGAGATTGTGTACAAAAAGGCCTCCAGGAGCACAGCAGGGACAAGGCAAGGGAGAAAAATACAAACAGGTGCGTAGTCGGTTTGGGTTCAAATGTGAGGCACAGGGAAGCCAGCTGCATCCTCGGTGCTGGGATTGGGAGTTCGTGGAACCTGGATTACTTTTATTCATTAGGATGCTTTTGGCTGTGTAGAACAAAAACCCTCACTCAGACTGACTTAAACGACAAGAGCTTTTATTTTCTTAGATAATAGGAAGCCTAGAGCTGGGCCAGACTCCAGCCTTAGTTGATTCAGTGCTTTAGTGATCAAGGACACAGCATATTTTTCTTGGAGTGTGCTAACTTTGTTCTCCAGCTAGTGCTGCTCATGATTGCAAGATGGTCTCTAGCAGCATTGAAGTGGATATGCTCCCTTGTTCAAGTCCAACAGGAGATATACTGTCTCATCTTGCAGCTCTCTGTTGGGAAAAAGAACACTTTTCCTAGAAGCAGACCTGTCGTGGCTTATTGGCCTAAATTGAGTCACATGCCTATTTCTGAACCAACCACTGGCAATTTGGGTACAGTTGCATCATCCGAAGTGGAATGGATTTGGGAAAGCAACCACTATGCCAGTAACAGGGTCACATTTTCCAGGACAGACTTAAGCATAATCGCAGTGAATAACCCAGTTCTACAGTGGTAATAGCCAGGGAATTAGAATGTAGAATTGCCAGTTTTAGCAAGTAATACAGGATGCCCAGTTAAATGTGAATCTCAGATAAACCATAGATACTTTTTTAGTACAAGTATGTCCTATGCAATACTTACGGGCTGTATCAATATTTGATACATACCAAAATAAGTCAGGCAAATATTTGAAACTGGAATAAGAAAATATTTTAGAGATATAAAGTGGACTAGGGACTTAGAAACAAGATCAAATCTGGGTTCTGCCTTACTTGTATGAGGATAGTGGAGTGAAAACTGGTTCAAAAGAAGAAGAGGGCTAGGAGGCCTTACCTCTTTGCCTGCTTTGGTTCCTTGTGGCCTGGGAATGGGAGAGAAAGTGATTGTGCCTCCTCTCTTAGGGCCTTGTTGTGCCATCCTGCCCTCTATTTTCAGGGTCACGACCGCTGCGAGCAGGCCTTGCTGCAGATTGGGATCAACATGATGGCGCTGCCTGGAGGTCGCCACCTGGACTCCATCACCCTGCCGGGTCAGCGGTAAGTCCTACAGCTGTTACTCCAGGCCAGGCCTACCCCATCTGAACTCTGACTGAGGTCCAGTTCCAGCATCCTGAGGCTGCAGGTGACCCCATCTTCCCATGCAATTTTCTGGGGAGGAAGCCGAGGATAATGTATTGGGGATGCCATGTTCACTCAGCAAATATCAATGGAACTGGACCCTGGGACACTGAAGAATCAGGCACATCCCAGCCTCTAATGAGCTGAAGTCTAATGCTGAGGCTGACCATGAAACAAAGAATCAAGTGGGTGTGCTAGTAAGATAGAGGACTCCAGAGGAGGCTCCTGATCCTGCCTGGCTAGGGGGCTGGAGCCCCTGGGGGTCCTTGGCGTTAGTGGAGGCCCTCTCTGAGGCTTTTGGAAGGTGTCATTCTACCCTTGGATGTCTTCTCTTTTGCCCAGAGCACCAAGGAGATAACGGAGCATAGAGCTGATCCTTGGGAAGTACTTGTTGTCTTGAGTTGGGCAATGAGGGAGGGTGGGAAAGGCACATACTGAGAAGAAGGTGAAGCCCAGATAATGAGGGGAGAGGGCTTGAGAACATCCTGTCTGAAGAAGGAGACATTTGGGGCCACCAGAAGTGCCTGCACACAGCTGGAAGATGTGGCAAGGCAGGTTCTGGTTTAATGTGACTGGTCCTGGAGCCTGAACCTGAACCAGTGTTAGAAGTGCCAGGGTGCTAGATCTTTCCTGCCCAACTGTCCCTGTTTGCCGGGTCCTGTACTGATTTGGGTATGGAAGTCCTGTGGCCCTGGAAATTCCTGGCAAACCTGGAAAGTTGGTCACTGTAATGTAGGTTTGATCTATAGAGGAACTCAGCAACCTCAGAGTGCTTGGGGATTTCACTTAGCCTTATTTACTTATTTATTTATTTTGCTGAGACATTTTGATGGGGTTATTTTGAGGCAACACAATCCAAGTAGATTTTGTAAAACTATTAAGCCATTGTTTTATTTTGTAATGTCTTGTGTTAACATATTCCATGTATCACTGACATTTTACCTTTATCCTTAACCCTCCATCTGAATTACTTGGGATTTCATCTTACTATGTCATTACTTTCAATATTGTTTGTTTGGTTATTATTTGTTTTGGAGTATGTGTTGCTTTTAAAATCAGAAAAAATTATTATTTGTTAAAAGTCTACTGGAACTGGTTTAGCCTCTGTGTACACACCAATCTGATCCCACAAAGCCATCATTATAAAGAGGTTTTAGGATGTGATATACAATTCATGCATGTTCCTGAGGACTCAGAGCATGGTTAGAAATGCCGCTCAGAATTTCCTCTGCAGCTGAAAGCCAAGAATAAGACATCATATGGGGATCCAATTATCTTTGCACACAGCACCTCTAAGGTGGAACTCAGAGATGTTGAGATATAGACCTGTCAGGATGTATGTGGTTTTTTCAAGATGGGGCCTGCCTTAGCCTGGAATGGCTGATGGCCTTTCATGAGACGGGGAAGTGGGGTCAGCTTTGGACACCTGACTGCCTGGCTTCAATGCTGAGCTATACTTCTCACTAGCTGCGTGGTCTGTGCAAGTTCCTGAACCCTATCATCTGTCTCTCACTTTTCTCATGTAGAAATGGAAGTCATAATAGCACCTTCTTCATAGAGTGAATGTGAGGATTAAATAAATCTATATATGCAAAGTGTGTGTCACACATTGCGCAGAGTCATTACTTATTGAGTGCCTGTTGCTGTGTGTTGGAGCTCTTCACGTAGGTGATATGGGGAAATTCTTCCAGAAATCCCTCTCCTGACCCCTAACCCTCAGCAAGTGACCTGAGTGAGAAAAAGAAATCATAGACAGACACTCTCAACAGCCTAATATTTTAAACCAGGAAAAAGTGAAACTACCCTGGTCGAAGTGAAGCCTGAGTCTCGCCTGCCCAGAGAGTAGGTTGGGAACTGTGTAGTCAGGTGGATAGCAGCAGCTCTGGCTACAGGGCTTTGAGATCCCTCCAAACACCCCCTTGCAGTCCTGGTATGGTCAGATCTGAACCTGTGCTGGGGTTGAGAAAGCCATCATCACAGGGACATTTAGGACAGTGGTTAGGAGTGCAAACGCTCCAGCTTGGTTCTTGGTTCTGCTACATAGTAGTCATAACTTTGGGCTTTAGTTTCTTCATCCATGAGATGAGGATAATTTATACATGCATCATTAGGTTTTAGGAGCATTTAAAATTATGTGTATGAAGCCCCTACCTGGAGCATAGGACCTGCTTAATCAACGCTAATTTCTCCTGCTTCCCATAAGGAATAGGTGCTCTGAGTAGAGAATGAGGTGCAAAGATCAGATCTTGGGCCATTTTAGGCTCCTGAGAACCACTGACCTATCTCTCCCTCTCTCTCTCCCACTTCCAACCTCTTCAGAAGTTTTAAGGTCACAGGAAATTAAATTACATACAAATGATTTAGGAATCAAATTATTAGGAGGCAAGGCATGATTTCTAACTGATCTTGCACAGCAAATCCATTGGGAGGAAGACCCCAGACTGACTTAACATCAGGAGTTATGGCTGGCCATAGAAGATGTAGCTTGTGAAATCTTTTTTTTTTTTTTTTTTTTTTTTTAACTATATCTTCATCCTTACAGTTCTGATAGGGTGGGATGAGCAACAGAGAGAGGGTGGTATTTCCTTTAATATGTTCACAGCCTAGCATTGCCAGGCCTAGCCAGAACACTGGGGGAATAGAATCCCTGGACCTAGCAATCTGTTAATTGTGTATGTTCTAGGGGCCTATGCATGGTCCACATTCACAGAGAAGGTGCATATGTAGTTACAGGATGTCAGAAGTGTTAATTTGCCTATGATGCAATCTGAAGCAGTATAATAGGCAGACAGTAGCAGTCACGTCTTTTTTTCTCCTGTTCCAAGTTGCAGAGTCCTCTCTTGTGGGGAATAACATCATGGTTATTGTCTCCAGATAAATAATTCATGCTGGATAATTGACTTCTTTCTGTTGTGTTCCACTGAAACTGAATTTTATTTTGCAGTGCCATTGTTCACCTCAGTGCACAAAAATAAACAAGTACTGCCATGTTGCATGGAAGCATCCAGCAGCCTGGGTAAACCATATGGGTGAGGCCATTGGTATTTGAGACCATTGTAAGTAAATAGCAGCACAAAAGGCTGTTCTAGATGTGGATTCCTAGGAGAGAGTAGAGGTCAGGAGCAACAGCTTCCTAGCCCTGGGGTTGGGATCCGTTGCTGAACAGGCATGAGTGACAGGAAGTGGTCTGACAGGGTGTGGTGGTTCTCAGCTCTGTATCTGAGTCTCCTGGGATGCTTTCATATTTAAAAACAATAAAATAAGCAAAAGAACAAAACGCTACTCTTGGAATCGCTTATGTGGGGCTAAGTGGTTGAAAGCATGTAGACCTTGGAATCAGACTTGGGTTCAAATCCCAGTTCACCTCCTACCAGCTCTGTGACCTTGAGTGACTGTTTAAGCTGTCTATGCATCTGTGTTTTCTTCAACACATTGGCAGTGACAGCTGCTTTAAAAGGTAGTAGCAGTGCTTGGATCCAGCAGGGAAGGTCTCTGTAGAGCCTCAGGGTGCTTTGCAGTACACAAGCCTCACTTTCCCAGGTCATAGAAATCAGTGGTCCCCATCCCTGGTCCTCAGCCTGTTAGGAACCGGGCCCGCGCACAGCAGGAGGTGAGTGGCCAGCAAGAGCAAGCATTATTGCCTGAGCTCCGTCTCCTGTCAGATCAGAGGTGGCAGTAGATTCTCATACAAGCACGAACCCTACTGTGAACTGCTCGCATGAGGGATTTAGGTTGCATGTTCCTTATGGGAATGTAATACCCACCACTCACAGCCTCCCTGCATGGAAAAATTGTCTTCCACTAAACCAGTCCTTGGTGCCAAAGGTCCCTGGTGCCGACAAGGGTGGGGACTGCTGGTGTAAATAACAATAATAATCTCTCTCCCTCCCCCCAGGTAGTGAAACCGATGCAGTCTCTGGTCTGAGTACCTCCCTGGGGGGTGGTCAAAGATTTATTCGTGGCAGTGAAGGGGCCAGAGGTGAACTTCCTGGATAGCAGGAGACTGTGGCTGCTATGTCCCTAGCTGGTCTTCATTTGCTCCTCTGGCCTCCCATCTTTCCCTCTGGGATGCTGATCTTCTTGTTGGTTCTAGGCATGGTGGTGGTGCTGCTGGAATATAGCCATGGTGGTCAGCGTGTTGGACGCAGGCTTCGTACTCCCAGGGTTGTGCCCTCCACCATCACAACCTGGCCTTCATATTCTGCCAGGATCCAGATGACCCAGTTCTTTGGTTTAACTTTCTTTATGGGAAGCCTCCTGGGGTGTAAGCTGGAGGCCAGGGTCCACACAGGGCTGGGTCCAAACGTCCCCTTCCTTCCCCACTTCCTTCTATAACTTATCTAGCACACAAATCATCTATGGCATTTGGAACTTTTCTCTCTGAATCCCCGCCAGTGAAGAGTCAAGGTGATTCATAGACTGGCCTTTGCAAACCCCCACAACGAAGTTGGCTTACGGTTTCAAGTACTTGTTATGGGCTGGGTACTCCACACAGCTATTAGTCTTCACTGTGACCTGTGTGTATAATTATTATTATCTATATTTTGCAAACAAGAGGTCATAGGTTGAGTTCTATGGGAAACAGCCTTTGAGGTGGGGTTTAGAGTTCAGTGTGGTTTTTAGTGACCATCTTTGGAATCAATGCCTATGGAAGGGAGAGGAAGGAAGCACGACTGGGCAGAAGGTGAAGTTGAACTGCAAAACCTGGCTCAGTGAAGTCAACTGATTTCACAGGGAGCTTTGGAATCAGAGTTGTTGTCCATTGGCCAAAATGTCCAGGGTCTTCATGTCCCACCTTGATCTGTCATTGGAATGTGTTAGAAAATATTTTAAACTGGGAAGCCATTAGGCTGGGGCTGCTTCAATACTTTAGGTTTCTACATAGCAAACTGAAGTCCAGCATCAACAGTAAAATGAAA